AAAAAGATGCTGACCAAATTCCAGCCCTGGTACACATGTTTCTTTCCAGTGGATGATTTACTTACCTTGGAAATCACCATGCCCTTTGATTCTTGCAGCAGCTTCCGATCGCTCTGCTCCGCTCTCGACATGTAGCCAGCCACGTTGGCCAGTTCCACCATCCATGGACTTGGCTTGCAACGCAGGCGGCGGGGAAGGGATTTGGATGGATCCAGACTCAAACTTGCATCGTTATAAATAAAAATATCGATACTATATATTCCAAGGTTCGTGTTTCCAACAGCCAACGATGGTTTTGGCGAGATTGCACCAAATCGGCCCATCCACCTTAAAGGCTCGAGAGGTGCAAAGAAGGGCGCAAGTAGGTATACTGCATGCTTTCTTTAAGATGGTTTGAAATTCACACGTATGGCTGCAGACTAGGCACCAGGTAGTGTGCTTGGGAATGGAATAACCCAGAGCATGTTTGTCCAGTAGCTCTGCGAGTTCCAAGACGTACTTAAAGTAGGGAAAGTATGGAAGCACTGACTGGCGAGGATTCTCTATAATAAACAGCACCCGACGACTGAAAGCCACCATCAAACAAATGGCACACCTGACTGCTATCACATTGCAGACTTTGATCCATTCCTGGTCTGTTCGCCCCATGTACCCATTTTCATCACACCGGGCATGGCTTGCTGAACTCATCCATGAAAAGGAGTTGCAAGGCTGTCCAGCGTGAAGTAAACCAAAACGAGCAGTTCTAAGGACAAGCTGCAAAGCTCGAGCAAAGCCATGCACAGTACAAATATCCTCCAGAGATCCTTTCCTATCCTTGTCGAAGGTCAGCCTCAACAGCACACGCAACGCAAGAGATCTCCGGCTAGCGGACGTCATATGAAAAACCAAGGCACGCTGGCAGTCCAAGTCGGCCTGGGATTAGGACGACGACTGGATATGATTAACGATCGCGACGTGAACACCTTTTGGACTACGAATGCGTTGCCCCTCTAGATTTCACAAAGGCACGGAATCCACCAGCCACTTCCCCAACTCCAGAGAACAGTTCACAGCACCAGTGGTCCTTAGCTGTTGGATGTCTAGCTAACTTGTTCCAAACACGTCTCCAGGGCCATATCGTTGATAATAGCTATAGCTAGGACTTTTGAACCAGGCGACTCTGTTTCTGACGGAGCTGGAAACACTGACCTGGTTGATATAGTCCAGCAAATGGACCCTTGGACAATCTAGAGCCATGGTCATGTTTTCTTTTGGAACGCGTACGTGCTATTCCCCCATGAAATGCACGTCAAGGAACACTACTGCGGGGACTCCAGCCAGAAGTAGAAATGCCACAGATGTGCATGACAATTGAATCGTCGGAGGGCCAGTCGACATCATACTGAATGACGATGACCCTGTAACCCAATTGCACAAATCAGCTTCGGCCTTTTGAACAACTGCAGGACGTGCATGCGCAAGTCTGTTGATTGCAACCATGTTCAATCACTAGTGCACGGAAATACGACCTCAAAGTAGCTGGCATGTTTTTCTTTGACCCCAAACGCGCATTGCTAGATTTTGTCCGTTGTGAATACAACGGATGAGACACGGATGGCCCGTGGCCAATCGATAAAGGACCGGTCGTATGCCCCCCTACAGTCCCCCCACATCAAAACGCTTGGCCAGGTAGAGCAAATCACTGAATTTCAGATCCACAACAATCAGGCTTGGCCATGGGAATTGTGGTGGGGCTGTGGATCATACCCTGCCATGATCGGAACCCCCAGCTATACGCAGTCAGGCCGGCGGCCCCTTCAAGATGTCAAAAGCCGAGTTGTACATCGATCCAGATCCAGAACCTCGGTTGTCAAAATGAATACTACGTATAGTTGATCCAATTCGTCCGGCGCAGAACATCATAATAACGGTGAGTAACCTTCGGCAGTGCTCCAGCCAGCGATGATTTTGGCAGTGTCTAGCCTGAGCACCGATTGTTGCGAGGGCTGATGGCTAGCTATTCATCAGCAGGTTTATCCAGTACGTACGTTGGATTTCAACCTTCTGGGGCATAGGCGCCAATTGCAATTTCTCAAACCGATGCCATGGAAGTGTGACACCGCCCTTCTTGTCCACCTCACAGGCTGACCAAGTCAGAAATATATATATATATAGATATGATTACTGTGTGTATATATATATATCCTGACATGCATGCATCATATCTTATAACATGCATGCAGGCCTTGAAGGACTGAATGGGCTTGATACAAGACCGTACATAGAAGCTGCGGGAGTAGAGGATGACATTGATGCCACTAATCGCAAGCTTCTTGGCCTCAGCCTTGATGTACGCTTGCTGGGCCACAGTCTTGCTTGGCCAAAGAGTGAAGCTCCTTAGATAGAATAATGTTGAACAGTATAATCTAGTGAGTATCTAGCTTCAGTGATCTAGATTTAATTTCAACACGGTATAATATTACTTGCAATTGCAAAAAAGTATCATTCTGCAAAACCCATCTGGGACCTGAAGAGATTGGATGCCACTGTCTTTAATGATCTCAATCGCCCCACGAGATGCTGCAACGCGTGCCTCATGTGCACGTTTGCATTTGGCGCGCTCGACCTCTGCGCTCTTGTTCTCAAGATCCTCGTCTCCGGTGCCGGCAGCCCATTCCTTGAAATGCTCGGCAGACCTTTGACTGCACGCTTGGGACGTCTTGTCGACGTCATGATCACAGCGATCAACATGCTTGGCTGCAGGTCGTTTCTGGGGCGTCGACTTCCGTTTTGGTGAGGTTTTCACAACGCGCGCTTTACGTTTGGCCTTTGGTGATGGTCCTGCATCCTCATCATGAGTGCGCTTTGATGAAGACCGGGGGGCAGGACCTTCATGATCATCATGAACACCCCCACCACCTCGGCCTCGGCCGCGGCCGCGACCGCGACCACGGCCACGCCCTGCTGTCTTCTCAGCTTTCTCCTAGCACTTGATCTGCTGTATCCCAACAACCTACCCAAATAGAATCGATCTAGATCATGAAAAAACATGCGCATGCACAAATTCATACTGTTGGACCGGGGTCCTCCTTTCTTTGAAGTCGAAGGTCGGATTGTTTTTCCCTCACCTGGTTATATGAAGTCGTTGGCACCTCAACCACCATGCTGCCAGGTTCACGGCTCTGATTGGGATCCGCTGGACCAGAAATCGAATCTCGGCAGTCGTCCTGATTGGGCAGGGTGCTTTTATCGATCATGGCCATGGGGAATTTGGGAAAAGGATTTCGAGACAGCATCGATATCAAACTTGTTCAAATTAATTCGAGTTATAGTTTTGTTGCCAAATGACACCACCCGCATCCTCGATATCAGTTTCCCCTGGATCACTGATGCCATGATCATCTTGGGTAGCTGGAGGTTCGTCATGAAGTGAGTGAATCTCAACAGAAGGCTCACGCTTCAAGCCCACCTTGGCAGCCATGCGCGGGATGGTGAGGGGGATCACCGTGTAGAGTTTAAGTGGACATATACAGCGCTGCGAAACCCCAAACCATCCCAAACCTGAACAAGTGGTTGCACGCCAACGTCGCCCTCCAGTTTCATGCGGTAGATGTTCTTCAGAACAGCGAGTTCATGAGACCTGAGACTGCGGAATCAGCTCTCATATATTAAGCTGCAATCAAGTGCCATAAATTACCCAGGGTTTTAAAGCACCAATGTCGTCTAGACTCCTCGCTTCCCATGTCCTTGCACACAACCGGGTCAAATAAGTAGCCAAGGATTTCAATCTCGTTCCCTGAAGCTTGGCCCAATCCTTGATTTTTGGTTTAATGTTCGAACCAACAATCTTTCTATAGTGATCAGCTCAATGCGCACTCCATTGAACAAACATGTGCATAAAATTATACAAGTATCCCGTTTATGGCCTTTCCAACCTCTGCTCTTTGTCTCAGCATCCTTGTAGAGCTTGAACACGGAGCAAAGATGCAGCATAGCCACCTCGGGTATGATGGGACCCCCCAACCTCTACCTTTTTTCTGGGTTCTTGGTGATTGCTCATGATGTTATCGCCCATGGACAGACTCTAAAATAATCCATGGGACCTCATGATCTTTCACCGTTGGAAAGAAGGAATTCCCAAATTCCCATATATAGTTCTTGAGGATATTGTAGTTCACCGGTTTTTGCAGGTCCTCCTCCCCAACCTTGAGCTGGGAGTTCTCCATGTCAATGACTGGATATGCCTCAAGCACCGGGAGCCGACATCGAATTGTGTGATTGGCCTAGCCTCAAATGTTTTACGCAGAGGTCATGAACGCGACCATGACACTGGATCATCCCTGATTTCATGGACCCTGTTCTCCACGTGGGGCTTTAAAAGATTAAAGATTCGCAGCGACATCTCCTGAGCGAAAAGTGCATACCGTACTCAATTCGAATCCCAAGTCATAGTTCAAGACTGGAAATTGCCGCCTTCATAGGCAAGAGTCGGTGGTCTGAAAGCTGAGAGGCTTGGTGAACCTCCCCTGGCTATCCGCTGCCGCCATTACCCGCTAAGGAAAGTTGATCGCCGGCGCTGACTGCTCACACTGCAGAACACAAACACAGCATGCACACTCAAGCACTAGTGCAACACAGCCTGAGCCACCGCTAGAGTCTTGACATGTATGTCAAGCAGAGGCAATCCATGGCATATCAATCAGTAATGAATCGTCTCGACCTCTAAAATAACAGCAGGCGAGGAAAAAAAGGGTGGATGCACCTTTGTCCGAGGAAGGTCTAAAGTGAAATGCCATTGCTCGAGACATCTCAGCACCAAAAAAGAGATCCTTCCTTGATCCCCAAAAATGGCTATCGGACTGCCATGGACTGGCTGTTGGCCAAAACACGCCCACAAGCGCGCTTTGGGTCCAAACACATCCTCAGAGCAAAACACATCCTCAGAGCAAACTAGCCGAGTTTAATCTATATGAGCGCTTGGACCCTCAGGGTTCAGCATACCTCCACCGGTCGCACAGTCACATCGTCGCTCCAAGGGTCGCTGCAGAGGTGGTGCCCGTGCGCACCCGCGCAGAGCTCCGCGCGGAGTTCCGCGTGCCGAAGCCGCCGCGGGCGTCCACCAGCGAGACCCCCGGCCGTTCGGCTTCGCGTAAGCGCTTGGCCTCGCTTGGACGGGCCGGCTCGGTGAGTCTGTGGGTCTCCGGTGTTGAGGTTGTCCAGATGCGCAAAAACACATTTGGAAAGACTGTATATAGGCTTTTTCCATCGAAACCTCATCCCTCGCAACACGTTAGGCACGTGCCCACCTTTCACGTGTAGTTTTTTCATGTCTCACATCTAGATCTGATGAAATCTACACCTGAAATGCACGACGGATGACGGGTACGTCTCATTCACACACGGATGACGGCACGGGACCCATGGGGTCGGAAAGGATCGTCAAAAGCCGTTTTGGAACGCCTCCAGCCGCAACACTTACAAACCACTGTCTGAAACAAGAGGTTATACATCATTCAGTATCATTGACAAAGCTGTGTTCTTGGACTTGACTACTGAACGGGTGTCGAATTTCGCATATACAAAAACAGTTCCAATGCAAGCAGTAGAAGAAGAAGCAGCAGCAACAACAACAACAAGAAGACACGCATCACGGAGACAAAAACATGTCTCTAAATGTGCGTTCAACAGGTTTGAGGCGTTCATATTCTAGCAGCGCTACCTGTCCCCAGACTGAGCAGTCTATATAGTTAAAACTAGTTCCCAGCTTCCCTGAATCTGAAGGTTTCATATTCTAAGTGTGAGTCTGCGGCTAGTCAGCACGCAGACGAAGGCCCTACACCAAGTCTCAGTATGCTGATTAAGCACGTCTGCCCGCCCCTCTAGCCCTTGTAGTGAAGGTTTCAGATGTTTTCACAACCTCAGCAAATGGATATGTGCAGCATCAGTTCCAACCTCTAAGCAACTGAATCTGAAAGGCTTCCTCGATTGCACCACCCCATTCGCGCATGATGACGACTGCGGTGACGGCAGAGGCCCGTGAAAGCAAGGTCAGTAATCATCATGTGACTGGCCACAAAGTAGCTTGAAGGATCCACTTCCGAATTGTGCTCGCTACTAGGAGCAAGGACGCGACTAGGGGCTCCTGGCATCGCTACTAGGAGCAAGGACGCTACTAGGGCAAAATGTGCCTTTTGAGACACCCTGAGAAACCCTAGGCGAACAATTGTTCTTTCTCCCAAGTGAGATTGACGTGCTTGGGCAAATGCACCCAAGTATCCATTTGCCTCTTGTCACCATCACGTGTCATAGATCTGGCCCCCCACTCTTTGATGCAGGCATCTGCGAGGCACTTGGCCATCCTAGCTGTTGAATTTGATGAGCCCACACTACAACCACAGAAACATGTCAAAGATCTGTCAATTCTTGTCATCCATGAAGCCAGGGCCAAATGTGGGAGCTCTAAGATTCATCCTCGTCTTTCAGCTTGTGCACGGCAACTCTCGTTCTGCCGCGGATGGACTTGTGCACGTCATGAGCTTTGCAGCGCGATCACTGAGATCTTCATTTCTCAAGGGCAGATATCACAGAAGTCATCATTTACCAATGCCCCAAGCTCGGTGCTACTCTGTGCTACAGTCTTATACCGAACAAACAAACAGCCATGCACAACCATCATGCGCAGCCGGAAGGGCACTGCTATGATGCTGCACCCTTTTTTGTGGGGGCTTGACAAGCAAGGTTGTCACACTTCATCTCTTTCCACAGTTCATTGTCAAGCTTGCTCGGGAACTCTTCCTCAAGTCCAGGCCTTCAATGTGAGAACAGCAAGGTGTAGAGGAAGTACAAAATGAGAAGGACACCAGCAAGACATGGATGATGTTACTATCTACTCAGTGACCCACAAACACTGAATCAGATTGAAGCTGGGAAGAACACGTGGATCAAACTGAAGTCCGCGATTCTTTCTTCACTCACACTATGGCCCTCACGTCCCAGCAAGACATGCTGGCCCTCCGGTCACATCCCGTCGGTCCCGCCTTTCCACGCCTTCGAAGCCAAAAGAGATAGAGGACCTGCGCAAACGCCCGGTCCAGCGTCCGGCCCAGGCCGCCCGGACATGGATTGGAGGCGGTATGTCTAGAAGTCTGCCTTTGATTTTTACAAGTTTGCAAAGCAAAAGCATGTGCAAGCAGGATAACTGCTGGGTTTCATCCTGCTGAAAGGGTTGACCCAACCGGAATGTTGAAAGTTGCGGTGGATATAACTCCCCAACGTAATCGCCTGGAGTAAGAACAACCACTCAATCGAACGCCATCATTTGTGAGTCGTGGCGTCACCTTGGGAGTTTTTGCTGCTTGGAAACCACAGACCTCAACACCATCCACAGTCCAGCTACAAGCAAAAGTCCAGATACACTGCCAAGAAACATATGCGACATGGATGAAGAGGATCAGCACCAGCTCGGCAATCACCTTTGAAGCGGGCGGCTTGCGGTTGATTTCGTGGATTTGGGAGGACTGGAGGTCCCAAAATCGTGGAACCTGGGCGGATATCATAGATCTGTCAGTACCTGGAAGTATCCAAAGGGATGTTCGTTTTGGAGATCCACAAAAGGAGAGCCAAGGTGGGTTTTGTTGCCGGTGACCTCCAATCCCGGAATGTGCTAGAGAAAGTCAGGTTCATGCCAGGTGGGGCATGTTCTTGATCCTCCGACTCCAATCCAACTTTAATATGCATGTTTTTTCCGATGAAAGAATGACTTCCATCCAAGTTGACAGCTTGGACACGAGGAGCTTGCTGTTGGTACTCATAGCTTGATGGGGTAGAAAATTTGAATGGAGATGAATGAACTGGGGTTGACCCTTTAATCAGGAGACGAAGGAAAAGGTCTCTGGATTAATTCATCCTGTAGGGACAACTGTTCATGTTCATCTGAAGATTGAAAATAGAAACGCCTTTTGCGCAAACACACATACACACACACTCTCTCTCTCTCTCTGTGTCTTACTCCCATCATCTCCCATCTGAATCTTTCTGCGTCTGTCATCATACCCTTCCAGCCAAGCTGAATTTCCAATTGGCTGAGATCACCCACCCGAAAAACTTCTAGAACCTGAAAGCAACGACTAGCAATGACTACAGGCAAGCCTTACACTCGCTGTCCAAAACCACGCCCAAACTCAGCTGCATGAGCCCAAGAAGAACCGAGGTAACCAAAAAGACCGGCGAACCGTGCATTGCTGAACCACGGCTCGTCTTTTATTGGGAGCTGTCGAAGACGTTTTAAGACACGCCGTTCAACCAAGTGGCCAGAACGGCTTCCACTTTGTTGAGGTAATCGCTCTGTGCATCCCAAAACTCCACAGCACCAAAGAAGATGTCAATGGGCCTCACACAGAGTGGCAGTTTTGTGCGTGGGAGACGTAGACCGAACGTCTGCGGTCTTAGACCGCGGAAAGGGGGGGGTTTTGCAAGGTCGGATCGGGTGGGTGCAAGGTCGGATCGGAGTGACGGTGCAACTCGGATGGACGAACCACACGCAAAACTGAGGTTTTCAGACTTGGCATGGATCACGTCCCACGTCCCCGCAACGCCCGCAACACCAGCCCGCGGAGCCGCGCCAGATCGCTCCCGCGCCTGTCACGCGGGGCCACGGAGTCAGACTTGGAGGTCAAGGTCGAGAAGAGCGCGTGCTCCACACCATGAAACCTCGTCGTTTTCACGAAGGTCGAGTGAAGGGTTTTCGTCCCTCTCTGGGTTGTTTGGCGTCGAAAGGGATGGAAACGGAGGATTCCCATCGTTCGAACGACGGGCGACGTCTTGTTCTGGTTCTTGTCTCGGAGGTCGGATGTCCAGGAGAGTGGGAGGAGTGGGGCAGATTCGAGAGTGCAGTCGAGTGAGATGTTGTGTTCGGGTGTTCAACCAGAAACCTGACCACCAATGACATCACTCTCCAAAACAAGTCATTGCGGCATTTGTTGGGGGTGTACCTGCTTCAAATCCGTGGCTCTCACCCTGCATCCTGAGGCATCCAGCATGAGAATGATGTACACTGCGGTGACGTACCTCAAATGCAAGCAGCATTCCAGGGGGCGAGACCGTGCTTTTTCATGAAGCATGGTCCAGACAGGCACTACCGGCCTGTTTGAATTCGTGGGATGCCGCAATCCCGCAGTTGAGAAAGATGGAGCCACTGGCTTGGATATCGCTTTTGAACTTACCAGCAGTGTCTGTTGCTGGATGGATCGTAATTATATCTTATGATGCTCTGCCATGGCCAAACATATGGCTCTCAGGTCAATGTAGTACAAATCATTGGGGCTTCATCGTTCCCTCAAGTAACGTCCATTTAATTGAATTGTCTTAAAGAGATCGCCCATGACCGACATCTTGAACAGAAGGCTTCACAGTTAACTGGGTGTCTCTCAAGGGGATTGGGATACCCAAAACCACTTTAAGATACTTTAAGAGGTAAAACAGAAGCAACCAAGATGGTGATATATACACAAGAATACGCACGATAGAATATGTACACTTCACCTTCTTCCGTTTCACATCTGTGACATTGCTCATCTCTGACGACATCGACCCAATTTCCCCCAGCCTCCACGCTTGGGTCATCCATCGCTGCCTGGACCTCCCCCCCCAAAACCCCTCGCAACCACGGCCTCCCCAAGGCCGTCTCGTAGGACACCGGCGGAAGCATCTCATTCACCACGCCCTGCGGCATCGGAGCGCCGAACCGCCCGGCGCCCGACCCTGCCCGGGGCCATCGGTCGCCTCCACCGACATGTTTTGTTTTGGCGGATGTCGCCTGAAAGGCCATCATCGCCAGGAGGCAGGTAGCGGTATTCTCCAGCCTGCGACGGGTGCTCGGCCGTAGCTCGGCTCGTGCTCGGCTCGCTCGCGGAGTAAACGAAAGGCTTCACAGAAGGGCACCCGATGTGAGTGCCTTCGGGAAAAGCCGGTGCAAGCCACTTCAGAACACAAGCCAGCCTGCATGTGTAGTCTCATTGTCAGCATATCTCTTAAGTAGGTCAGGTTCAGATAAGTTCAGGTTCAGACCCGGTAAGAGTCAACGACCTGTACTTCATGCGGAAAACCGAACACGCTGACAGCTAGGCCAGAGTTGGAACAGTCTTCACATCCGCGATTGTGTTCACATCGCCCAACAACCCGCTTCCAACAAGAAAGCCAACTGTTACTGCCAAGAAATCTATCAGTATGCAGGATCATGGTCTGTGGGTGTCTTTTGGGTATGTCATATATGTCATGGGTTTAGCAGTACGCGGGGTCACTCATCGGCTCAGCCGTTCCTCAAAAACTCGGTTCCTATAGGTGTTCCTTGACATGACGAGGGGGCCAAAACATGGGACATGGGCGTATATACTTTGATTTGCTTAAGGAGCCTAGAAACAGTAAACAATATTCCCCAGAACGAGATTTACACATAAGGAAAATAAACAATCACATTAAGCAAAACCAGCTGTGTGCACAGACTGGCCTGCACACTTTAAAGCAAGGTCTCTTGGTGGAGAGAGGATCCCACCCAGAGTCTGGTCGTCAAATTCGTGCTACAAACCAAGGGAATTCACTGAGTCGCTCGAGCTACATTGAAGGAATGCTTGAGCTTATATGGTTATCCTCATTGACCACAACAGGAACTTGCAGCTCTTTAAGGGTGACCGTGTCGACTCCTGTGGGGACCTCTAGTGGCTGAAAAAAAAATCGAAATATGGTCGTCTTTGCTGCGCGTCTTTGCCTGGATCCAAGCTCTGACATGGGAATGGCATAGATGGTGAAGGAGAAGATCAAGATCACCAAGCAAGGCGTAGCCACGTTGCGAAGGGCGTGTCCTCAGCGAGAGGAGCGAGCTCAATACTCCCGAGCAATTGATCCCTGGAACATGGAGGATATAGAGGATGACACTGAACTGTTCGCCTTCTACGAAGGACTGATATATTTATGATTATATATGTCACCCCCCAGATGAAAAGAGCTTACACCATCTTACACCATATTTCCTTGTTCATCCTTTTTTCCTCACTTCCACGCACGTTCCGGCCGCGAGCGCTCCACGCTGCCGCCCGAACCGCCCGCGTTGCCTGGCGAGCGCTCCACGATGATGCGCACCTCGTACCAACGGTCCGGCAGCTCCGAGCGCAAGCCCATCAACGACCTACCAGTGCACGACCGGTTCCGCGGCCGGTCACCGGTGCGACCGAAGCTTCCGAAGGAAGAAAACACATGGGGGGGGGGCGTAGTTTTTCTGGACAGTACTGGCGGAATGTTGACTTTTCACCTCTAGCAAATGGGTCTTGATGGTCTTTTGTGGAGGGATTTAGCGGCAGTTCCATGGGGCAACAGCTAGCCTCTCAGTGTTCTGATTTGGGATGCGCAGGCAAGGAGTACAACTATCATCACCCACAACGATGAACATCAAACTCCTAGTGCAACCGTGCAACCAGAACCATGAAACAAACACAACTTTCCTTGATCACTTGTCTTTGGTCATTCCCCAATGTCATTCCTCTGCCCCAACAAATGCCTGCGAAACAACCACAGTATATGCTGCAGATGGGCAGCACTCCATTTTCCCAAGCTAGAAAAGGATGCTCTAGTTGTGGGGTTATGACATCTAGCTCGGGCGCCGTGGTGCGACTGTGCCCCCAAGGCGCTGTATCTTGAAATCTGCCAGGCGATCCGCCAGCATCTTCACGGTGTGACCCGTCCTCCGCAGGCCGTGCTTCTTGTTGTCACCTCATGTATCGGGCGAAAGAATAAGAACCGGAGACAAAGAGTTGGCCTTTAACTTGTCAAACATATTCTACAGCATACTTGGCAAACAACTTTTTTTTCAAGTGATGCTTGCACAATCTTGCACAAAACACTTCTCAGAACTTGTGATGGCAGCCAACTCCAATCCGCCTGAGCGATCTGAGGCCCAAACCATATAAGCCTTGGCAGGCGATGCCAACGACGGTCAAACAGCGGCGTCAAACCGATGATTTCGCACTTCAAAGCATGGTGCCTTTCTTGACGCCTTTGGCCCAATGGCATCTTCTTGACGAGCGAATCAACATCACATCACATTCCTCGGGTCATTCGTCATTCCTATCCCCACTTCTCTGAAAAATGCCGGAAAAACATCTTGACACCACACCACCCCTCACCATGCTCTTCACCGAACACAACCGAACCGCCAGATCTTCTTCACCCCTCTGGGAACGACCCAACCCGCCGACGACGAGACGACCGCGCGGCGGAGCGCCTTCAGGGCCCACGAGAATCGCCTCCGGACCCTCCTCGCCGTGCAACGTGCTCTTGTTCCGCGCCTCGTTCGGGCGACGTGTCGGTCGTGCCGAAAACGGGGTGCCGTGTTTTGAGCTGTTTTGGGATCAGGTCGGTTGTAGGTCCGGTATAGGTGACAGAGGATTTGCATGTTTGTTCCACTGAGTGGAGAAGTGTGTGGGTTCGGCATGGCCCTTCTATTTGATGTCTCTCGAGAAAACACTTAGAACTTCTGGAGGACATTTGGGAACGGTGAACAATTCTCGATGATACGGCAAGTCGTCACGTTTTGAGAGTCAAACTCCGATGCTTTCTGAAACCACACGCTTTTCGGCGGCCAACGGATCACACTCACCATGTGTCTCTCTACCGGCCTTCAAGCGAATGGGCAAGATCTGCGTGTCGAAGGGGAAGGCGCGTAAGTCCAAGCCGTTGCAGGTCAAGGAGAGCCGATAGCGATTTGTCTTCTTCAGCTGCCCATCAGGACCTGAGTCGAACAACGAAGGTCTTCCCGTGGAAAGATCCGAAAAAAAAGGACGGATGACGGATGTGAAGAAAAACACCGCGACATGCCATGTGAGAGAACTACACATGGTGAACAAACACCAACAGCAATTTCCCACAAACGCCACCTGCACGATATCCTAGCATGAAACCAAAATTGACGGAAAAAACGCAATCCTAGCATGCATTAGAGCTATTACAAGTGTCCCAACGATCTCCGAAAACATGCTGCCCAGTCGACACACGCCGTCCACCAAGCGATTGGGCCTGAGACCGACCCACCGGAGACCGACGCGCGGCGGCGGGGGCGGTTCGGGGTGGCCTTCTGGCGGGTTCGGGGCTGTGCCCGATCCGCAAACGATCCAGAAATCAGATCCAGAGGTGGCTTGGAGCCAATGAAGTCGCAAATCAGTAAGTCGATCAACATGTGAAGGTTACGGAACGTGTTCGTGTTTTGGCAATGCGTTTGCATCGAAGGATCGATGGCCGATCTCCCACCTTGGAGCATTGCACCCACCGGAGATCGGCTGGTCGTTGTCCACCGCATTGTCCTCGGGTCCCAACAGTCTGACGGGACGTGGTGGACGTGGGAAGTGGTGGACGTGTGTTCCTTTTCACGAGTGTGTTCCGGTCTCTTCGAACATTCCAAGTACAGAACACCCAAAATACATCATAGGCTAGCTATAACATAATAGGCCAATTATGTATTAATGAAAAAAAAGACCTGTCATGGCCCACACTCCTTCCTTTCTTGAGGTCTGAGGTCGTTCTTTTTCGGAGAAAACTACTGGCATCTGATGTCAGGTGAAGACCTGCTTCGGCCTTTGGCTCCTCCCGCTTCCGTTCCAAACCTCGCCTTCAAAGGAGGAGAACAAATGATGGCGCCCGGTCTACATCGGACCGGGGTCTATCGATCGACCGGGCCGGACCGTCGGGGTCTCGTCTCGTCGCATCACTGCGGTCGTCTTCGGACCGACGGCTCCGCCGGAGGGGACCGACCGCGGTGGCCAAGTCGTCGCGGTGGCGGTGGGCAGGCGCTGTTTTGAGGCGGAAACGAGGAGGATCGGAGGAGCACTGTAAGGATCGATGAAAAAAAGGGAGGAGTTTTGGGACATCCAAGTTGAGCCCATCCAATCCAAAAAGCATGAAGCATGGCGCCACCATGAGAACTGTATTGTTCAGCCCTATCGACCCCCGAGTGGCCAAAGACGTGGAGTGGGCTTTGCGGGTCGGACGAGGTCGCCAAGGACCGTCTATTGTACTATGGGTGAAACGATTCCCACGTATTATACGTATATATTTATATGTGTTATTGATATTCTGTTGTTTCAATGGATTTAAATAGTAACTACCGCGTCTTTATTTCGGAGTTACCCTTCCTAAATCCTCCGACCGGAGCTGACCAACCGCAACGTCTCCGTCTACGTTTCACTGTTCACCAAGTGGCGATGACGACTTCAGGGTTGAAGATGGTCATGGTCATCTGATCGATTTCTTTCGCTGTCATGCCCATGACGCTCGGATCCTGCCAGTCCAACCTGAGACCCCGGGGCCGACGGGGACTTCCAGGTCTGGGTGGTTTTCATCTGCGATCGACTCGGATAGTCTATGCCTGGTCCACCCACTCATGAACAATTGGGGATATCTGTCTTGCCCTCGGGATCCACAGATAGCCTCTGAGATTCTGAGAAGGCACGACTGGATCCCGGGTAAACATGGTGTTTTTCGTGAAACGGGTCACGTTTTTGAAACGGGTGATTCGACTCGAATTCGTTCATCTCGACTCACGGCTTAGCACCGAGGTTTGGTGTCTTTACGGACCGAGGTTTTTGGTGAACAGCAGACGAAAGCGTCGAGACAGCAGCTTCCACTCATCGTGCGTCTGTTTAGACGTTTAGACTGACAAAAAAATCCAAAAATATCAACCACTCCAAGGCCTGAGCAAGCATGGGTCAAAGGCCATGATGGAGAGCCGGTGAAACGACTCGACTTTCCATGTGTCTTGTCATCAAATGCGGGTGTCTTTGCCCAAACAAATTCGGCGCTCATAAGAGCGGGGCACATCAGAGTGAAGTCCACATCGAACAAAATCCGCTTGATGTTGATGGCTGTGACACTGTTGATTTGCACTGTCACCTCCACTGGGACACTCTCCGCCATATTGGAGAAGCTCGACCTGGCCAGTGAATGCGGAGTCTGGACCGACGACACATCTGTCATGGCAATGATCTGATCATTCTGAGATGATCATGATCGACATATATCGAGATCTATGTGCAAGATGTCTCAGCACCAGGCAAAGCAGGGCTTTTGGCCGGTTTGGATGTGTCCCAGACCCTCCATGTGTATGCCACATGCATATGCATTGACTCCCTGAACCAACCTAATTCATCCTAGATTCTGTGAAAATATGCCAAGTCCCCATCAGGTCGTGTCTGAATCTGATGCAAAGGGAACCACGACAGGACGCGTCCGTCGACCCACGTCCGCCGACCTGGCCTCCCTCGCTTTGGAGGACTGGAGTCTCCTGATGGGGAGAACTTCATCGGGTTTCGGCACTTTTCGGCCAGTTCTTTTTTTGGTGTAATTTGTTTCTCATTCAATGACCCACAACTCAACCAATTCTGGATCAACAGCGCGAATCACTCGATTTTTCTAGACCCAAATCCACCAACGAAACGCAAGACACAGCTTCAGCTTCTCACACCAGCGTCTCCTGCCGCCTCGGCCGCCTCGCGGAGCGACTCGGGGTTGCAAAGCCGCCCGTGGCGCTCCTCCGCCAACCAACGGCGGACGTACCTGAGACGGTCCAGTTCGTTCGAGGTGCATTTTTGGAAGACGACAGGATACGTCAGGAATAACAAATTAAGGCTTTTTTTGGGGGGGACACGACAGGATACACAATCATCCTCGTTTAATTAGAGAGAGAACATCAGATATTATAAGAATACTGCAAGAAGTTCTGCAAGAGTCACTTGGAGACTCAAGGAGAAATGGATCCGCTGTTGGAACAGGCACCTCCCTTGTCACCTCATGATGCTTCAGGATTTGATCCTCCAGCTCTACATGAGAACATGATGGGGGATGCTCAGTGTTCGATCTGTAGGTCTGTTCAAACACAAAAGCAAGGCTAGCTATAGCTACAGGTTTCATTTTTGTAAATCTGGTCCAAGACAAGATGGTGTATTTGGACGGAGCATCAAACAAAAGAGTGATGCTCCGTCGGACGATCTCTTCTTTTCTATTTTTTGTGAGCCTGTCGACAGACTAGCTTGGCAAAACTTTGACCAATATATGTATATTGATCGACCTATATGATTCATGAACAGGAGCGAAGTGAGTGAAGTCTAGACCAGTGACACAATCATCATGTCATTTCGCCATTATGTTGCCATTGACCTTTATAATTTGCCTCAGACTCTAGACTCTAGACTCTATAAACAACTTTTGTGTGACGCTCCCTTGCCCAGTCACATCCGAAACCGAACCATCGGTCCGATCTCGGAGCATCGGTCGATCTGGCCAAAGTCCAACACGGTCCCTCCCTCCGGTGCAGCTGGGTTTCATGGGCAACGGCAGCTGCATGAAACTCTCCTGCGACCGAAGCATGATGCGAGCGCTTTCGGATGGTCGCACACCCGGATTCTTAGCTTCTGAGAATCCCGTCCCATGGCTTTCTTAATAGATTCAGGATGATTTTAGAGCATCTACCCCCTTCCTTCAAAAGTGGTTTTTCAAAAATTGGGACCCAAGTGGCCAATCATCATTGTCCGGAATCGCAGCCCCCAACCCGTTAAAAACGTTCTCCGCGTTTCGCACTTCGGTTTCGCCTGTCCTTGTCTGACAGCAGGTACAAATCCTGGCGACGCCGACTTCGAGACCCCTCCGCCAAACCCGCGTGGGGGCGCAACCCCTGAAGGAACAAAACCCACACGTTTACCATGGAGAAACCGCGGAGAAACCTACACAAATCATGGACAACATCAAACAAGAGGAAAATAGGCAAGAAACAACAGCTCACTCTCCGGCAACAAACAAACACATACCGTTGAAGATCGTTGAAGAAGGTGAACACATGTGAACACCACATCTTTCACACATGCTTGGTGCTTTTGGCCTGCAGGCTGCAGGGCAAAAAACATCAAAAAACCGTCCAACAGTGTCACAAGGATACGCTCGTACTGGACGTGTCACGCCCGTGACACGTCCCGTCACACGTCCCGTGACCCAGACCGCCTCAGTGGAGAAGAGCAGTTCCTGTGCCAGGCGACTGGCGCACTGCTGCGCCGTCTCCGCATTGAGACGTAGCTCCTGGCAGAAAAAGCCAGCATTGTCATGGCAAGGGGATGGCAAGGGATGGCAAGGGTACGTGGGTACAAACTACAAACAGATCCCCTGCATGTTGGTGGGGTCATACCAGGGGATCCCTGTCATATCACGCATTGGGGCAGCTCCGATCCCCGATGCCGTCCTGCGCGTTTTGCCGGAAGAACTCCACGATGGGCATGGAGGACCTGAGGCAGGAGCCACAGACAGATTGGTGAGGAGTCCACCCGTCAAAGTTCAGTCGACCATTTTTAAAAAGGTCTGACATGGTCTGACGAACGGTGATCCGAGTTCAGGAACTTTCTGAACACTTGGGTGGCCGGAAATCGTCGAACTGGACTTTTAGGGTAACAGCTTGGATCGAGCTGCTTTTTGGATCGGGCTGGAAATCTTCTATCTTTTTCGGCGGACAACAACTGAATTCCATGTGTTTGAAACCCTTGAAGTGGTCCGTCATGTTACATGTCCGTCATGTTTTGTGTTTTGTCTTTTTTTCCCCAGCTCTGAACATCGTAAGAGTCTGCGATCATTGTTCCTCTGATGCAAAGGGTCATGGCGGCACCATGCAATGGTTGAGGCCATTTCTGAACAGATCCAGGATAATCAACCTCCCATGGTTTGGTGGGGAAGATTGTGTTCCTCGCAGCAACTGCCCCACACCCACTTGAAGGGACACTAAGCGAGCACTGCTGGAAGCGAGCCGACTGACTTCGCGACGCATGCCGGACGATGTACAAGCATGCTGGGTCTACAATCTTGTGGTCTGTGACTATGTACAAGCCATTGTGCATCAACGCTTCTTGACCCAAGAATTTGAAGCTAGAGGAATGGTCCATGTTACATGATTAATTATTGATGACTTACCGGAGCTTCAAACCACCATACCCTAACCATCATAGGAGCCTCCAAAAAATGAAGCGCTTTGACCTTGCATAGCTCCCGGCTCGAGATCTGAACCTGGACTTTGATGTCCAGAACCATCCACCCAGTCCGAGGGCCCCCACCGTGCCCGGAGGGCGTGGGAACATTTGGAGGCCGGGGACTCCAGCTCCGTGTCAACCTCCATGGAGGACAAACTCACCACCTGGCGGCTCTCTGCCGAGCGGGTCGGAATGGTCAAGCCGAAGAAAGGGCACCGTTGGGTGGGCGAAAAGGAGACGATGTACATGAAGCATCATGAGGTGAAGGAAGCGGACTGGCTGCCGACGGCGTCGTTCCGCACGTCCGACAGCCCACTACCCTCTTCGGCCTGCAAGTCTTTAGGACCTGGGCACGGCTCCAGCTCATTCGGCGGCGACAGCGGCTGAAAGAAGGCGCCCTGACCGAGCGAAACCGCGCGACGCGCTCCGCGCCCCGCGCTCGTGGGTGGATCGGGTCGCGAGACGGAGTGTTGATCCTTGGGGATGTGAAGAACGAAGCGTCGGAGAGAATCAGGATGAAAAAACGACGCGTTCGACTCCTTTTTTCTGGAGATTAATTAGGTGGAAAGACCTGTTTCAATGTTCGGCTCTGTCGCCTCTTCTTTTTTCCGAACATGTTCACCGCCTAAACCCGTCACCGTCGCACGACCGATCTGCCGATCGGCCGAGCGTCGAACGGCTGTGGAGCTACAGGTGGAGTTGCGAAAAGACTACAGTATCACTGCTTCGATCTGGCGTCCTTCCCTAGTAAGGCCAGGAAAAAATGTCATCCACTCGATCTGGATTGAACACTCCAACAAAAAAGAGTCCACTATAGTCCACTCATGTCCACTTGCTTGTGGGGACAGTTGTGTTGAGACCAACTCGAGTATTTCTTGACCCAATGTCCAACGAAACATCTCTTTGCCATCTGCGCCTCAGCATCATCATTGAAGCCTTCTGCCATGCCAGGTAGTTCTGGAGGTGCCTAGGCTCACAAGCAGCTCTGTCGCCTCACGACTTCACCAGCGAATCCCAGTGCCAAACCGGCACGACTTCGCGACGTCCGCAAGGCACACAAGGTTGAAGACTGTGTGGGGTCACGAGTTCACTATAGGTTATTTGAGTAGGCTCGGCGTTCGGTTTGATGTGTATGCAATTCACGTTGCATAATTGATGCATCCGATTGCGTCTGCACCCGGGACATCCCAGGAAATTGGTTCTGCTGAGTCTTCTCAAGAAGGATGGGACAACTCAAAATTACTAACTCATCTTTGGGGCGCCAAAAAAACCATCAGTTGATTTCACTCTTCAACCATCAGTTCTAAGCTCTTTTTTGGGTCACCGAACTTCCATGAATTTCCTGAGACTTGAAGTCTACAATTGCTGTATAGCTCAGCCCCGCTTTTCGACGGCAAACATCTCTCGTGACTCCACGAACCCCCAAATGCAGCTATATCAAGTTTGTTCTCTTCACCTCTTCAGCACTCTTCACCCCATAAGAACCCAAGAACAGGATCGACACTCGAAGCCTGAGAGCACCAAAGGATTCGCCACTTCCAAACGACGACCCAAGTCGCCGGTGGCCCTTCGTAGCCGTAGCCCATCGCGCCACTCATCAGCCATCCGATCCGATCGGAGACCACCCGAGCGGAGAGCGAGGACGCGGAGGGCGACACGGAGGAAGCTGACAGGTTCGAAGCGGCCCAGTTTGGTTGAAGCTGAGACATGTCTGTTTTCAGTCTGTACAGTCAAACAGTTTGGCCGAGTTCTGATGGTTTTTGTATTTTCCTCAGCGATTTAGGGCCTGTCTGCAGTTCCAGGTGACCTTTGGTGGGCCACTTGGGGGTATTTCAGGGTGTTTGATATAGCTTGATCAAGGACTGGGGTTGGCTCCAATCATTCCGAAACTCCTCTTCCCCTGAGCCCAAACAGCCAAGTGCCAGGCTCCCGAGCTCGGTGTGGCAACAAAGATCTTCTCAAATCGACATGCAACATATCAACTCATCACAAGGGCAACCTGCTGTCGCCCGAACGAAACGCACGGCTCGAGAAGTTTACCGCCGTCTATGAAGATCTCGATGACCCGTTTCACTGGCTCCATGGGACTGGGACGGGCGTCGCCGAATTCCATTGACGGTGCTGTTTGCGGGGCCCATGTAATATTAGGCAGATCTTCCAGTCTGTTGTGTGTCTGGGTCCCAAAAAGGTCCCATTCATAGGGCCTCTGGTGGCACTTGACTCAACGTGTGCACCACTCTGACAACTCGAACACTCCGCCTCTTCAGTCAACCGCGCAGTCGTCAGCTGCGCCGCCCATCCCGTGGAGGCGATGTGGCGTATGAAGGAAACAACCAAACCGTCAAACCCATTTCGACAGCAAAAAGGTTGGGTGAAGAAAAATCCCATTGAAAAAATGGTTAACTGCTATGGGATTCACGCATTTGTTTCAAGAATCCCATGAAATCACTCGTTGAAACGACGACGAATGGGGCCTTTCATGGGATTCATGACAGTTAATCTCGTGTGGATGCATTGCGCGAGCGAAAGCACATCCTGCGTGACTCACTCAAAGGACTCTTCTGCCTGGTCTAAACATCATCATGCTGCAGGACTTTGGCAGGTGAGCAAGCTTCTTGAGATGGAGCACTTAGAGGCAGAAATTATACACAGAAATTATACAAATTATAGAAGATTTGCACATGCACATAGCTGCACTGTTTGAGAGCATCTTGCCAAATTCACCGCCGAATTCTGGAACATCCGGCGAGTTGACTTCAAACCCACCCACTGCATCTCCAAATGCCGTGTAAGAACCATGCACATCTGTGACACAGGTGGCGGTTGGTCATGTCATATGCCTGGCTAGCCATGTCACACCTCCCTAATCTCGAGATAGCCGAGGGCTTTTCCATCTCTTCTCCCAGATGCAACCAGCCTCCGGATTCTTCATGTAGAAATACATCACTTCTCTCATCTTCTCGCCCGTGGCGCTGCGCAGCTCCTGCGAACAGATTGGGAGGATCTGCACCGTTTTGATCCATTTCAAACATCAATAGGATCCTCAGTTGCTCTAACCTCCGAATCAAACTGCTCTTGATCCATGTTGATCCATCTCAGTTGCCCTGTCTCCTTCTATCGCTCCTAATCCATGTGCACCAACTCGCAGCTCTGCTGTGCTCGTCAATTTTCGCTATGTGGTACAAAGCCCACCGACCAAGCCCTTCACGGCGCGAAGTCACTCAGGTCTGTGCAAGGCAAATATGCATGAACATGCTGGACATCTGATGCTTTCCGGCACGGCGTCCGTCCTGCGGCGGCGTCCGTAAGATGTAGTTGTCGAAGCCGCCGGCGTCGTCCATGTTGTACATCGCCGAGGCCGTCACCTCGACGAGTCGGCGCAGCTCTGTTGCTCGCGCCAACGTCGCGGAATCGGTGCACGCAAAACCGGTAGGACAAAAAAAAGACATCGGTCGATTTTGGGAGATCATTGATATAGTGTTTTTCTTCGTCCAGAATGTGTGTGTGTGGCGAAGGATTGTTCCAATCTGTGTGCCCAGTGTGCCAGAAATACAAATTTAGCTTATCCAAATGATTCCCAATGGAGGTGCCCTTTGTAGAAGATGTGAGACGTTTTTCTTCGTTTGCGGACGTGGTTCCGGGCTGTGAGATGCTGATTGACAGTTGCAACATCGTCCGGTCGCGACGTTGTCACCCGAGGCGTCCCATGTCAGCTGACTCTTGTGGCAAACCATTCAAACATCTGCAGTGCAAGCGAAGACCGCCCCTGACACCCTCCAAAATCCCCCCCATGCGGTTTGTCACATCCGATGGAGAGCCATATATCATGAATCTATTTCACTCTCGTACTCAGTGTCCACATGTCACCATGTTGCCACCTCATTTTCAGCTTCGACCTTTCTTCATGCTTGGAGTGACCCCCCCCCAAAACACTTCCAACGGCGGGTTCCCCGTGGCGGAACATGGCCGACCCCAGTGGGGACCTTCAAGTTGTAGATGGTGCTGTTCAACGCATCCGAATGGAAATCCTGCCGGCCAAGGATGCGAGGATTGTGAGCAGATGAAGAAAGAACATGCGTCCACCAATCGCGCCAGTGGTTTTGGTGGGACAAGGCTCTTAGGTCCGACGTCATGAAGGGGTTGCGCAACAACACCTAAACACTGAACTGGACACAGTCGACGCATGTCGACGCATGCCGACGCGAAAGAAGCAGTTTTGAAAGAACCGGTGAGGGGTCCGTGTCGGTCTTGGTATGGGTCAACAGCGGGGTGTTTTGCACTCAAAGACTATGGCAAAACAAAGAACATATGGAGGAACAAAGCAAACATCTTGTGGATTTATTTCCTCAAGTGCTGGACACTTGTTGGCAACATCTCTTGTTCGAGATGATGTTAAGGCATGTTAAGACATGTCCTGCTTTCCTTTCCACACTCTCTGGCCAGGTGAGAAACAATATGGCTCAACACAGCGCAACTGCCCTCCGTTCTGCGATCCATCTACACTCCAGAACCACATCGTCTGCCGCCCCGCCCCTTCCGTCGCCTTCTTGTTGGTGAACGGAGTGATTCGGTGCCGTTCACCCTTTCCGTTCCACAATTTCCGTTGTCGGTACGTATAATCATCGTCTCCCCACAAGGACATCTGTGAGGAGGCTGACCTGGAAACGAGAACACAACTGCGCCGGAAAGCGCTCAGCTCCGGACAGGCAGATCCAGAGTGAACATGTTTCGACCGAGAGTGTCCCAGCCAAAGAAACATGGATACATGCGGTTTGGGTTTCCTTGATATATAATTTTCAGAAACTTCTACTCAGTTTCAGCTGTAGACCCAAACCACCGCAGGATCGTGTCACACTGACAGCATCGATTCCGAACACCCGTCCTCAATAGCGACCCCCCGCGATGGTTGATGGTTGACCCGGTCAACTTCGACGGCAACATATGGCAACATCTATCGTTCCATCCGTTGGTTGGAACAACATCAAACAAATGGGACTCGCCGAATCGACCGGCGCTTTTCTGATCTGACCGGAACTCCACGGAGAAACGCGAGAAGAAGAAGACGACTAGCGGCTTAGTCTTTGAGTGGAAAGACTCATGAGAGGTTCTGCGACCAACCCGAATACTTTGGCAAACCTTCTGAATCGAACACGAGTACCGGATCTATCCGGCCATCGCAACAAAACGAGTACCGCAAACAATGGAGGAGTCGCATGAGGGTCCCTGCCTACCTGCCGGATGAAATGTAAACCTGGAGCTGTTTAATCACTTATCATCATCATCACTTATCATCAGTTATCATCCAAGTTTTATAGGATGTTCTTTTGCGAGTGCTGAATGGTTTGTTTGGGTATAGCTTCAAAAGTTTTGCTATGGTCAGGATCCGCACGTTTCAAACCGATATCGACTACTTCAGCTGGTTCGGTTACAAGTGACTCATCCTTGATAAGCACGCAAAACGGCGCAAAGAGCCGTTGAAACAAAGTAAACGCCCGTGGAATTAAGTAAACTTGTCAGCACACTGCTAGCTGTATTGGGTGCCTTTGGTTTGTCAATGAAGGTTGTCGGTCTTTCCTTCGGAAGCTGACTACCCTCCCAAGAAGCCAAGGATCTACATGCAGCCTCATGAGAACTTGAGACTTGCATTCTATTCCCTTAAAATGTGCCCTGCGTTGGTCAATTCCGTGTGCGAAGTTGAAACATCGACTTTCTTAAACCGGCGTGTATACTTGTTTTTTTGGTGAAACAGCGTAACTTTGCAGGTATACTGATACTTCCAACCCTTAGTTCACAGCTCTTCAGACCGCAGTCAACCAGCTGTGTAAGCCGCAAGCAGCACGTTTCTGCATCTGGGTTCCCCTGCGGTGGTCGTCCATAAGCCTTCGGCGGCACGATCCTGGTGTTGGCTTCGCTGCAGCGAAGAGGAGAGAGGTTTGGGCAAAGAGGAGATAAAGAAATTCCGGAGAATGGAGATCACAAACTCAAGAACATTCCACAAGATTCCAATGCAGATGCACTTGTCCAGAATTGGTCACTTCTCATCTTTCTCCAGCATGAACCTGGTTCGCTGTGCCTTTTTCGCCCACGTGATTGCCCTGCGCAGTGTCGTCTCGACTTCTGCGCGGTGTCGAGTTTTCGATCAGAAGACCACTTTGTCCATTGGATCGATCCAGTTGATGATCTTGTGCTTCTTCCTGACGCGATGCGGATGGAGCCATGGCATCATGGCGTCTCGCCGGCCTTTCCATGCCGGCCTTTTTTCCCGGTTTGGAAGGCCTTTTCCTGGAACATGCCGTGGGAAACCAGAAAGTGACTTGCGGTGTGTAGAAGCACTTCGTCAAAGCTTTCTGGTCTTACAACTTCCTTTGTTTGTGTGAAGCACCGGCATGGGAGGCCTTTTGTCTTTCATTCATAATGATTGAGTTTTTAGTGGCTGAATTTCACACCAAGAGTGTTGTCTGGTTTGGGTTCTGGTTTTGGATCAGGTCTGACCCTCTAGGCCTCTTCCAACAGGTCTCAACAGATCCCATGGCTCCTGCTGTCCACCACCATGTCGACATCCACTCGCTTCGGCATTGGATCTCGCCTCGATCGATGAAATGCGGCGACGTTGACAGGCGATGTGGACTACTGGCGCATCTGGCCAGTCTGCTGTGGACTCTGGCTGAGACAAAAGGTGACCTTCTTCGACTATCAATTTGACACACACCCATGAAGTCTCCAATTCAGGGAAAAAACACGAAAGAACAACAACCAACCTCTCCAGCAGTCTCACCAATAAGTCAGATCTCTGGGAAGCCGCACTTGTCCATCATGGGGAAGGCGGACCTCGTGCTCGATTACTTCGACTCGAGCTTTAAGGACCCGTCAGCTGCGCAGAGGTCACGTGCCAGGCCCACTTCTGTTTGCAAAGGATATGTCTCTGAGACAAGCAGAACATAACAGAACTCTCTGAGACAAACTTGATCAAACTTGCAATCTAGAAACAAAAGAACTTCTAGCAAACTTGCGTTGAAAAGGCTTAATCAGACCTGCTTGCTTCCGCTTTTGGGTTATGTCTGCGTCAACGAACGACCGAGCTGCATTGTAACAGTGCCAAAGAATGTAAGGCGGCCAGCTGTGGCAGGGGGCATGTAGATCCATATAATATATGTTGTTTGGAAGATCTTTTGTACGAGTTCACTTGAATGAGCTGGAGCCGTGAAGATCAGATGTATATATCTTGACTCAAGCAAGATCCAAAGCTCTCTTCAGCTCCTGGTCCACGCTGGGGAGACCCGGCATCATTTCCACTTCCACACTCTGTCGTCGGACCTTGCCGTTCCGTGTCGATGGCGGGGTCGTGTCGTCGCTTGGCTCCGGACGACACCTCCGGTTTGGACCGTGGGGTTCGTTCTGGGTCAGCACCGTGGGTCAAAGCGAGAGCAGGAGCATGCCCGGTCACACATGAGGTGTTCGAACAAGCTGTATACGTATCGATGCTATGGCAAAGACTTGATGCTTGTTGAAGAACTGGTCAGTCGTGACATAGACTTTTTGGAAGACATGTTTCAAGCTCTCGCGAGAGATACTACGAAGCCTTTACGGATGTCACGGATCCAGGCGTTTCTGACATTTTCTGACTTGTAATCTCAGAGCTTCTCCTGCATCCACGCAGCTTCCTGGAATTTGCACTTTCACATCCTATTCTGACCATCCGTTTAGACTCATTTCCGCCATACCCCAACCACAAAAGCTCCAATGCCCACCCGAGCTTTTGGGAGATTCCTTCCAAAAAGCCGAAGGGCTAACCTGGCACCATTTCCACATCGTCCACCTCTCATCTCCCGTCAAAAAAACAAATCCACCAGGTCCTCGCGTGCTGGTGGTCCTCGAAAAAGATCCTTGAAGTGGAGGGAGACCCGACTTCGGCCCTTCATCTTTCGGTCTGTTGAGTCGAGTCGTCCCGGTTGACCTCCGTCGAGTGGCCCAATCGCTGGTGGAGCGCCAGCCTTTGGACTCGCCTAAGGCCTTGGTGGTCCAGCAGCGGAGCTGGGTTCCGTTGCGTGGGAAGGGCCTACATTGTGACATAGTGGAGTGAAAGGGCTGAGGGGTTTCTCCAAGACTGGTTGAAGTCACTGGAGAGACTGTAGCACGTGTCTTTCACAGGCACTATACAACCTATCACCATACTCAAAGGCTCAATGTATTAAAAAAACATGTAGTACTAGATCTTTTAGATGTCAATGAACCTCCCGAACGTACTAGGCAGGAAGAACGGTTCGAGGGGGGTCAGTGCTACCAAATATTTACCTTTGAGCTCAACTTTCGTGCTGGAAAACAAATCCCAAATACAATCTCAACCTCAACCCCCCAAAGGGCATCCAAGCAGCACCAGCATAGGTCACGCGAAACACCACCTCACCCACGCCCCCACGCTTCGACCCCCAGGCCTCATCGTCGCTCTCGGGATCATCTTCATCGCCCATCTGGTCCCAACCTCTGTCAAAAAAACATCCACCTCTCATCCGAGTCCATGGGTAGTCTACTGATAGACCCACCCATGGAAGTTCTCATGCATCTGATAAGGAGCTTTTTTTGTTTAAGACACCCCTTTGGACCAGGGGGCCCAGGTATGGATCCCCCCAAAAAGGGCGACCGTTGGACTTGGACTCAAACGGATGGATTCCTTCTGAGAGACGGTCTTGGAGTCGTGTCTGAGCTGCTGGGCCCACCCATTTGGCGTAGGCCTGCTCCTTCTTGGCCAGGACCATGGCCTTTCTCTAGTTCGGCGCAGTGACTTGGTTCGGGGTGGCTGCGGAGGTTGGGATAATCACACGGGTTTGGTGGTGATTTTGGACAGTGAATCAAGCGTTGAAGAACATCAAAAAGGATTGAACTCTACCCAAATCAATCTTCTTTTCCAAGCAAGGGAATTTCCGGGGGGGCTGAAAGTATACACGAACATAAATATATCAATAATACATCATATATTGAATGATGGTTAGGTTCCAGGCCTTTCTCTAACTGCTAGTTTGCTTGGACTCGTGGATCACGTGGGGGGTCATTTCTCGAAGGTTCCTCGCCTCTCGCGTCTGCTGTTGATCCCCCAATCGGGTCAACCCGCTCCTGGCGCTTCGTCCACGGGCTGGGAGTCTCCAGTCGCCGGTTGAGCGCCGGGCTGTCATGTTCCGAAAAGACTCGAAGACGCAGTGGACTTGATGCTATTTCATTATGATGCAGCCTGCAGCCTGCAGTGGAGCCTGCCGCGTGAGATAGATGATAGATATATACATATATATATATATATATATCTAAGAAGATTTGCATCTCACCCGAATTCGCTCGGTCGTCTGTCGACCATCTGTCGACCACCCCACTCGTCATGCAGTCGTGGTCTGTTTTCAGCACGTGCAGGGAGGGAACTCTCCACGTGTATGGTGCAGGGAGGGATCCTACCCTTTGGGCCCAGTGGGTGATGGTTAGGCTTAGGTTCCAGGCCTTTCTGTCAGGTTAGGTGCTCTTTAGTGTCCCGACTGTTCACGTATATCATGCATAACTTGGATTATACTGTTATATACCAGCACCCTCCAACAGGTCTCCTCTGGAGGCTTTGGTAGACTTAAAAGTCGCAGGTGGTGACCTGTTGGAGGGTCCTGGTAGTTAGATACAGTGCTGTAATGGATTATAATGGGACAAACCCAAGAGCTGTTCATGCGGCTCGTTCCACCCTTTGGTCGATCGACAAAAGTCCTGGTGAGGTATTCGTTGCGTGCCCACTCCTGCGTAGATTGGACCGGCCGCTATTTTTGGGATGCTCCAAAATAACGTTGAAAACAACGCGGGACAAGTGGCCAATTACTCTAAGCCATTTGTTTTTATCTAGTAGGTTGCAACACCTCACTTCGTGATCTTCCCCCCATGTCCATCACCAACAACGTATCTGTGAGCCAAAAAAGACAAGACTACCCTAAGGGAAGCAAAAACTTAAACAACACAACGACCTGACGACCTGTGCGACGTCGACCTGTGCGGCGGAAAATGCCGAGTCCCCACATCAAATTGGGTCAAATTGGGAAGTGCACTGTTACTACTAGTAAGGCACCTGTTACTACTAGCTTCTTGCTACTACTAGTAAGGCACCTGTTACTACTAGCGTGGCACTTGTTACTACTAGCTTCTTGTTACTACTAGTAAGGCACCTGTTACTACTAGCGATGC